CCAATTGTTTCCAACCATAGATTTTTACCGTCCCGAGGACCCCAGCCTGGAAGTCTACACCTTCCTACGTGGCTTAGACCAACTGTTGTGGATTTCATTGACTGATGCCAAGTTTTTGTTTGACCGCCGCTAGCTTTTTTCCAGCCTGACCCTATATCCGCTAACATTGCTCGTCGAGGGAGGCGATGGCTTGGCATACGTAACACATGTCCTAACCATCTCAGTCTTTGTAGCTTCACGACTTCGTCGATTGATTTCCCCTGTTTACCTAGAACTCTACGCCTAACCTCCATGTTGCTCACCTTATTATGCCACTTTACACGGGAAATAGAACGCAGGCACCTATGATCAAAGACAGCTAGTCTTTTCATGTCTTCCACTCTCAGTGGCCAGGTCTCACAACCATAAAGGAGGACGGAGCGGACTGATGAGCAGTACACCCGCCCTTTGGTCGATAGTCGAACATCTCGTCTACGCCAGAGTCGGCGTAAACTAACAAATGCGAAACGAGCCCCTTGTATTCGTGCTGAGATTTCGTCAGAGATCAGCCCGTTGGGGCTGATGGTACTTCCCAAATAAGTGAAGCGGTCAACGTGCTCTACCACTTCACTTCCTATTTTTAAACTAGGCGTCGATGTAGTCCAGTCCTGTAACATCATCTTGCATTTGGCGGGAGCGAATCGCATGCCAAACATTCGTAGATTGCTGCTCAAGGTGTTTAGAAGACTCTGCATTTCGTCAGCGTCTTCGCCTAGAAGGACTATATCGTCTGCATATTCCAAGTCAACGAGATTATTCCCAGGTAGCAAGTCAATCCCTGAATCGCTGAAGTCACCTAGGGTTAAGTCCATTAACACATCTATGATGAAGTTGAATAGAAAAGGAGATAATGGGCATCCTTGACGGACACCACTGGTCGTCATCAGTTCAGATGACAGCTCGCCGTAAGCCCTCACCTGGCTGTATGAGTACGAATAGAGTGCCTTAATCAGTGCAATATATTTTCTTGGAATTCCCTTTACAGCCAAGCATCTCCAGAGAACTTCCCGATCGACAGAGTCGAATGCTGCCTTTAGGTCAAGAAATATAATGACTGTTGGACGCCGGTAGGAATGCCTATGTTCTAGAATCTGTCGGAGGGTGAAGATATGATCAATACACCCTCTTCCTGGTCTAAAGCCTGCCTGGCTCTCTCGTGTTTGTGCTTCCCGAGCACCACTCAGTCTACGCATGATTATTGAGCCTAAGACTTTAGATACTATATTAGTCAAGCTAATCCCTCTGTGATTATCACAGGAAGACTTGTCTCCCTTCTTGTATATGGGGATAATCAGTGACTTACACCAACCCGATGGGACTTCTTCTGATTCCCAGACGCTGCCTAGTACCTCAGTTAATCCGGACAGTAAGCTGTCTCCACCGTACTTAAATACCTCTGGAGTCATTCCATCAGGTCCCGCTGCTTTGCCTAGTTTCAGATTGGTGACAGCTTTAGTAACCTCAGTTAGTGACGGAGGACCTGTGTCTATATCCCATTCAGGGAGGTGTTGGATGCTCGGAAGGTTGAGCGTGGCTGTGGGCAAATTAAACTGCTCCTCATAATGCTCTTTCCAACGATCCAGTCGTCTATCCTGGAGCTAATTATAGTGCCATTTTTTTCCGAGATTGTCTCACTAATGATTTGTCTTCTCCCACCCGTTTCCCTGATGAGTCCAAAGAGTTGCCTGGTGTTGCCTATCCTCAAAGCTTTCTCCATCTCTTTGGCTTTTGTCGCCCACCACTGTTCACGGTCCTTGCGGAGACTTTTCGTAAGTTTCCTCTTGTGCAGCTTTCGCTCCTCATTGAATTCGGAGCTCGCCGGAATAAGTCTTCTAGCATCTATCAGTTCGGATGAGGCGGTGGAGATCCAGTGGTTTTTACTCACCTTTGGGTTTACCTTATTCACAGCTTTTACAGCTGTATCTATGGCTGCCTGGATATTTTTCCAAGCTTCTTCAGGGTGAGCACAGCTGTCGAACACAGATATGTGTTTAGCTAGTTCTTCCTGAAATACGGATTTAGTTTCCTGATCGAGCTGGGGACGTGATGGTTTTACCGCCAGCTGTTTCCTACGTCCGTTCAGTCGTAAGCACACCCGAGCGCGGACCAGTGCATGGTCGGTATCTACGCACGTGTTCCAGAAGGAGCGACAATCTCCTACCGACCCACGCCAACGATAGCTTATTGCTATGTGGTCTATTTGTGTCCAGCGTTGGTTTGATGAAGGGGGTCTCCAAGTCAAACAGTGTCTCTCCTTGTGTTTGAAGTTAGTGCTTACAAGAAACAAATGATTATCAGAGCAGAACTGTAGGAGACGGTCACCGTTGTCGGTTCGCTGGCACGGAACTCCATAGGTGCCACCGACATCCTTCTCAGATTGACACAATTTCCCTACTTGAGCGTTAAAGTCACCAGCTAGAACGACTATGTCTGAGCGTTTAGCCTTTCTCACCAAACTAGACAGCTTTTGGTAGAACTCATCCTTCGTTTCATCTGAACTGCAGTCAGTGGGGGCGTAGGCGGAGATTACGAAAAGGCATCGGCGAGTAGTGCAGTCCTTCCTCCTTCTTACTGATCCGTTCAGGCGGACAGCACACATTCGGCTATCTACCGGGATCCAGTCAAGCAATGTCTTTTCTGCCCTAGTACTCAAAGCTATCCCTACGCCAGCTAATCCTCGTGAACTAGCTGTGGCATCTCCTGACACCCTCAAGGTGAATTTTGCAGATTCAACCTGTTGGCCAGGTGGGGTTAGGTGAATAACCACACTTGGGTCTTGTATGCGTGTTTCTGAAACACAGCATACATCAATGGCTCGTGATGCCAGGGTCTTGGCTAGTGATGCTTGTTGTCCTATTTGGCAAAGTGTCCTAACATTAAGAGCTCCTATATGAAATTGGTGGCGCGGCTTTAAGAGGCTGTCGGTGGTGGTTTTTTGGCTTCCATCGTTTTTAGTGGACGCAGAGTGGAGAGGAAGTGGAGAGCTATCAAGTCGAGGAGTTGCATCAGTGGAAGGAAGGCAAGATGATAGAGATGAAGATGAAGACAAAGATGAGTGAGTAATAGAGAGGTTTCGTGTGCATTTCGGATTGTGAGGGCGATTGTTACTTCCCGGCTGCCCACACCGTGGAAGTTGGTTGCGTGACCGCAGAGCCCAGGGGACAACTGCTTGAGGCCGGTCACACGCGGCCTGTTTTTTTTGTTCTTTTTGTTTTGTGTGTCTCAGTAGCAGATTTATCACTTCCGCCCTGTGACACGGCAGCAGGAAGCGCGGTCGTTGTTAATCCGGGCCACGGCCGATCCGGCATGAAATTTTGTAATTTTGTATTGGACATGATGTTGGATTGGGTAGCTGCTTTTTGTTTAACCGCTATCCAAACAACCTGCCTGGCATGGTAGAACCTCAAGAGACATAAGTCTCAGCCAGTATAGCTTGATTAGGTCATTGCGGTGTTCAAGCCCGACCACCACGTCAAGGTAGCAGCTTTCGGTCTCAACTACAGGCGGAACTGACGAGGATATCAAAGCCAGAATTGGAAAAGCAAGACAAAGCTTTCATCACTCTCAAATCTGTGTGGAGGTCAACAGCACTCACCATCAAAAATAAGATCCGGGTTTTCAATTCCAATGTGAAGTCAGTGCTACTATACGGATCAGAGACTTGGCCAGAGCGTCATAAAGAGCATCTCAAACAAACTTCAAACCTTCATTAACAGCTGTCTTCGCTCAATACTCAAGATCAGATGGCCGGTCAGAAAAGATCAGCAACAGGGATCTCTGGCAATGAGCGAACCAACCCAGCAGGAACCGATTGTGAAACAAATAGGCAGGAAGAAATGGAGATGGATTGGCCATACGCTGAGGAAACAAACCATCAAGACAAGCCATTGCTCGAGTGGAACCCGAAAGGGAAGCGGGCGGCGAGTTGGTCGTCAGTGTGAGGGTGACTTGGAGGAGGTCATGCGAGGAGGAGATGAAAGCATGTGGACAGACCTGGAGCAGGGTGAAAAAGTTGTCAGAAAACCGAAGGCAATGGAGACGCGCAGCTGAAGCCCTATGTTCCTCTAGGAACTAAAGGATACAATAATAATAATAAATCAGGATTTTGATATCGTCATTTGGGACGTTGTCTATTATTGCTTGTAGTTTTCTGTAGAACGCCTCCCTCTTCTCTTGTTCTGAGACGTTCGTAGGCGCATAGCATTGACATTGAATGACTGTAACTTTCCTTCCTTTTGAGTTGAACCTGGCTGTCATTATCCAGGAGGAGATTGGTTCCCACTGCATGAGAGCTTTGGCTGCTGTTGGTGACATCATGATGGCCACTCCCTCGGTGTGCTCATGGTTGTCCTCTGGGTGGGCGGAATATATTATTGTCTCTCCAGTTGGTAGTTGGCACCTTCCAGCTCCGTTCCATCTGCTCTCGCAGATTCCCAACACTTCTATTCTATATCTTCTTATTTCTGCGGCTACTTGGGCAGCCTTTCCAGTTTCGTACATTGTACGAACATTCCAGGTACCCATCCTTACTCTTGCTTTCATCGAAAGAAGGCACATCGGCTGACTGGCTTTCCGAAGGCTAGCTTTCACCAGCCTGCGTCATTTCACTTCCCCGATTCCAGCGAAAAATAAGGTTATTGTTTATATTTTTAAAATTTTTAATATATTTGTGCTTTGAAGTTTCTGTAGCGATTTGGTTAAGTTTTGGGGTTGGAGTTGGTAGCACCACGATCCAACCCTCCCTCTTTATCCGGGCTTGGGACCGGCTAGAAAGCCAGCGAGCTCTAGTAATCTAGGCGAGGTTAACCATAAGTCATATGTCGTGATATGTAGACATAGAATCATGAAATCAGGATTTTTAGTCTTCTCAGTTGCTCAAATGTGCATTTAATTAATTATATTGCACCATAAATTTGATGATTTATTTTTTCTACGTTCTAATCTCTCTTTTCAATTTCTAGTTACAAAATATTGTTGTAGACACAGAGCTAACAGGCAAAATTCTCCTAGAACGTGGGAACCTTCGTCAACGTGTTACAATGCTCCCGTTGACACATATTCGTGGCAATCCTGTACCTGAATCAGTTATTGAGCGAGCTCAAGCCCTATTTGGGAAAGCAAACGTTATCACTGCTCTTTCGCTAGTCGATTATGATGATGCATTAAAACCTGTGATGGAGTACGTGTTTGGTGATGTCCTGGTATGTCCTGATATGGATATTGCTAAACGAGTGGCATTTCATGCGACTATTGCAAGGAGGACAGTGACTCTTGAAGGAGATGTATTCGATCCACAGGTAAGCTTCATTTAGCAAAGTTGTGGTTTTTTATTTCAAATATTAATTTGTGTAGTATGATTTTCTGTCTCGTGTTGATTGAGTAATATATTGAACTGACGTGTAGACTCGCTCCTATTACGGACGTTTTTGACGATATCTGAGGATCAACAGGATTTTATTTGGTGGATGGTGATGTCTGATAGTAGAGAATCAAAGATGCGTATTTTGTCCCATTTAGAACTTGTGAGCCAGCTGGATGCTATCTTCTTACTTACTTACTTCGGCTATCTCCTACGGGAGGATGAACCGGCTTCATGAACATCTCGAATGTTTGTAAGAGAGTTGATGAAGTTTCATGGGAATTGAGTACGAGTGATGTCCCCAGCATCGCTCGGTGCTATCTTCAGTCTCCAGTGATGGAGGACGTTCACATAGAGACTCGAACCCACCCATCCATTACCACCATCGTTTCAAACGGCAAAGCGTTATCCGCTAGCCCACTTTGGTCACGAGTGTTTAGAACGATAGGTGATGGGTTTAGTTTTGGTGGGAACACCATCCATTACCGACTACCTGGATTCGCAGCTGATAGCATTCAGCTGACCGCGTCCCGAATCCACATTCTGGATTTCACTGCTAGTCAGTCCCAGTTCTCTAAGTACTCTGTTATCTGAGCACTATAAGGTCAAAGCTGTTTTCTCCATCGACCCTTCTTCTTACACATTTGCAACGATTAACTACCTGGATTTTGTAAACACTTGCATGGGTTCATCCTTCTTATTATTACTATTATTATCCACTAATTTGTATACTTGAACTTTTACTCTATCAAGCTGCATTGATATCAAATATCCATTATTATTATTATTATTATTATTATTATTATTATTATTATTATTATTATTATTATTATTATATGATTGTAGTTTTACTAACCAACATGGGGAAATGATTCTCAGCCATTTAGAACAGATGGATAGATATTTCTATCGGTTATATCTACATAGATCTACATATCTTTATTGTGAGGTTTTAGTAATGTGATTAGCTAGTCTGAAAGTGAATGAATTTTCTTTTCGTAAGCTCATATGTGATGTTCCCAAGTTTACGGTTATGGATCAATCAAAGGACTCCTTAGAATTCTGATATCTTCTTGTATCATTTTACATTTCCTAAATTTGATCGTGAAATCAAATATGAGTTTATTGACTTAGGAAGTTGACTTTTTTTCTCTAAAGAAAATTAGATACTGTGTCCCAGTCTCTCGCCACTTATTTCTGTCTAGGTAACTGAGATACTACCGCCAACCCCTCATTCAGTAATTCTGTGGCTTATAGCCTGTCTACGTAAAACATGTCTGTCTCATCAGGAACTGGTTCCTTGAAGTTTTTTTTTTGTTGACGCATTATAACAGGATTTTCATAATCTTTAATATGGCGTGTCCCCACTGAATGGGCGTTGATATTTGATCAACTCATTAAGCTGTATTCGTTTGGATCTATTATTTGAACTCAGTTCCTGGAATACTCCCTTTGTATGTAACAGACTATAATCCACACCCATTGTGTGATGGTTGACCGGATAGTATATCCAGGTTGAAGTATGTGGGTCAGGATTCCTATCTCCAGGACCCATCGACCAACGTTCGGATCTACCTGGGAGTGCATGTGTTTATTTCGCTCATCGACAGACATACATATAGTTTGTTTTCTTTTTTAACGAAAATCACTTTGCTCTTAGCCAACAACGTTTTGAGATTTCAATAGATTTTTGCATTAATTCTAATTGATGTGAACAGGTGTGCTTGGTGAGGGGAAAATTGAACCAATTTTTGCTCTAATAAGCATCTTCATCATATAATTTATCCGTTTCTCTATTAAATAAATAACAATTTTCTAGGATTCATAATTTTCTGCGTTGCCAAAAATGTTATTTTCATGTAGTGTAAGCGTAGAACTCGGGCACTGCGGTGGGATGTGATTCCGTATTAGATAAGTTTATTTAATAATAATAATAATAATAATAATAATAATAATAATAATAATAATAATAATAATAGCTTTATTTTGAACAGTGTTTATGTAGTGTACATTATTTTCGGTGCAGTTTATTGCATGATATTTTATCATCGTCCAGGATCTTCAGATAAAAGATTAAATTGACTGACAGTATATCGTGTGACAGTTTGACCTGACCTGTGGCGCAAACCAATCCATTATTACAATATCTCATCATTTTCCCAGCTAATTAAGACGCCACTCTACTCAGAGATTGTTCCACTTACCATTTGCCTTTTTGATATGTATCCATATATATATATATATAATGTGTGTGTGTATGTTGGTCTCTCTTTCTGTTTGCTCTCTTAGTCTGTGACCATTTCACTGGTGTGAACTTGTCTCCTTTAACAATGTATATTCTCCTTATATTATATATAATATGAGTGTTTGTTGACAGTCCGTTGCTTGGTGACATATATCCATATATGGTGGTTGTTGACATGCCTGCTATATTTCGCTATGTATATATGGATCGATACTTCATTATAATTAGCCATTCATGTTAAGACTGTCTAATGATTGTTCACACCCTTGTCATATATATTTCGCTCTCACAATTTGTGTGACCTACTTACTGACTGACCACTTTGGTGTGATACCACTTATTGCATTCTCCTTGTGTTTGGGAAAATAGAAGTATCATCGCAAACCTAGTGGTCTTCTGATTTCCGCCTTCTTGCGTCAGGACTATTAGTTTCTCGACCAGTCCATAACAATAATTTAGCGACGAGTACATAACACTTTTTCCATCTATTTCCTTGATAAGCCTAAATAATTGTGTGGTGTTGGCTATCTGATTGACGTATTGACAGATTGTCAAGCTAGTCTGTGGTTACGCATACCGCTCACTCCTACAATTGGTTTACTCCTCCTTTTATTTCCTCCATACTCTTGAATTTTCCAGGGAACTTTGTCGGGTGGTAGTCGAAACCCAGCTACACAGAATTTGTTAACACGCATATTTGAATGGCGTGATGTGGAAACTGCAGCTGAAAATTGTGAAGAGAAAGTGGCACAGGGGGTTATCGGCATTAGAAATGCCAAAGCTCGGGCTGAAAAGATTCGTGAACTACGTGAAGCATTGAATAGTTGTCGACATAGTTTACATATTTCAGAAACAGAAATGCGGCAGACAGATAAGCATCGGCTACATGCGGATTTGTTGGCGACTAAAGACGAATTGAGTAAGTTTTATTATTCCGGTTATTTAAAGATTATATTATTATTATTACCTTGGGTACCGAGTCGAGCACAGGACTTCAGTCGAGCTACATTTCTCTTTCAGTCTGTTCCCTTTGTTACAACCTAAACTGAAGTACTCTAGTCTGAATGCAGTGAACCATTTGATTTGTTCTTCAGCAGAGCTAACCAAACTTCCTGATAATATCAAAATTGGTGTGACTAGCTGTCATCAACGGCATGAAATTGCAAGCGATTGCTGGGTAACATTTCATATTTTTTTGGTGTTGTGCGTTGGTGGCACAGTGGTTAGGACTCTCGCCGACCATACATATGGTCCGAGGTTCGATCCCCTGCCGACGCACACCTGATATCTATGGTTGGCCTGCAAAATTTGGGCTACCGATATCACATGCTGAAAATTCCATACTTGTACCAAAAATACAGTGTGGAATCAAGCTGTAATAAAAAAAAATTTATGTGGTCACAAAAAATGAGGTCAGACCATTAGCCAATGACTAGATGCATTAACGAGGATAGCAAAGCAAGAATCGGAAAAGCAAGATAAGCTTTCATTACTCCCAAGTCTGTATGGAGGTCAACAGCACTCACCATCAAAAATAAGATCCGGGTTTTCAATTCCAATGTGAAGTCAGTGCTACTATACGGATCAGAGACTTGGCCAGAGCGTCATAAAGAGCATCTCAAACAAACTTCAGACCTCCATTAACAGTTGTCTTCGCTCAATACTCAAGATCAGATGGCCGGTCAGAAAAGATCAGCAACAGGGATCTCTGGCAATGAGCGAACCAACCCAGCAGGAACCGATTGTGAAACAAATAGGCAGGAAGAAATGGAGATGGATTGGCCATACGCTGAGGAAACAAACCATCAAGACAAGCCATTGCTCGAGTGGAACCCGAAAGGGAAGCGGGCGGCGAGTTGGTCGTCAGTGTGAGGGTGACTTGGAGGAGGTCATGTGAAGAGGAGATGAAAGCATGTGGGCAGACTTGGGGCCAGGTGAAAACCCTAGCAGAGAACCGAAGGCAATGGAGACGCGCAGCTGAAGCCCTATGTTCCTCTAAGAATTAAAGGAAATAATAGTAATTATAATAATTAACTGTAGGTTGGTATAGTCTCCATTCACTCTGTCCAGAACTGACTTCTTGTACTATCTCATTAGAATTGCTTGCATTCGGTGGCCGTATGCGAGTAATTCTGAAGTTAAGCGGCGTTTATTTCGATACACGGGAGGTTGTCTTTCATTGAAAGTTGTTGTAATCTTAGAACACCAGCTTCAATGGCTTGGACATACGCTAAGAATGTCATCACATCGTCTTCCGTACCACTTGTTATTTTCTAGCCTTGAGACCGGATAGAAAAAGCATAGGAGTGGTTACTTCTGACGTGGCAGCTTCGGATGAAGATTATTTGTCTTATGTTAGGTAATCCTTAGGTGCATTACCACCACTTCCTGTGTGGTGGCGTCCGACAGATAATTAAAATCACTTACTCTAGACATCATTGGATATGGCGGAGAATTGTAATCACTGGCTTCAATTCCTAAGCTTTCTTTCCTTTTTGAAAATAACATCCAGCAGTGATGAACCGGTGATTAGCTCAGCCAGAAACTAACTCAACGGCTATCTAACGTTTAGGTCATTTCGACGATCTGGTTGGATAACAAGCACGCACCCCTAAATGATGTCAGTAGTGTCAAACTATTCCTTATATAAATCATTCAGTAGTACACAGTGTCGTGTATTTAATTTTCAGTTCCACCGAATTGCTACTTTTGTAATTTTTTTCTAACATTAGAACAAGTTGAAAAATTGATGCATGAAGCTAAAGAACGCCTTGCTCAAGCATCAAAGAAAGCTGAATTAGCCGGTGAAAAAGCTGTCAATGCTGTTGCTGAACGTGAAAAAGAACAGAAAAATGCAGAGAAAGCTCTTTCTGAGGCTAGACAACTGTTGGAAAAATGTGCAGCTGATGTACGTGAAAAAGATGCCCTAAAAGAGGGTTTACGCTTAGAGGCTGAAGAACTTGCTAAAGAGTTGGAGAATTCAAAGGTAAGTCGACTGATGTGACCTGCCACTTCTAATTGATTAACCGACTGACTTTATTTAACCCCTAAGATTGAGTTATAAGTTGAACCAAAGATCATATTAACAGTTCATATGTGCGTTATTCGGTTTGATATTTACATTGATTGGTTACTAGGATGTAATCAACATCATTTGTGTAGTCCTTTCGGTTTCGATGCGGACTGAGTTCTACCAGTCAAGTCTGCAATGTAGTCTCTGTCATCAAGCCAGTGGGCTCGCCACTTAAGATTGGTCTGAATTGATGTTGCATGGTTTGTAGCAGCGAGAAAGAAACCTTAGACCTAGTTCGTGTGTTTGTTGGACGATCTGCGATCTTGATGTATCTCATTTTTTCTTTGGGATTCGAACCCAGTGCTGCAGTCAGAGACGTTATCACTACCAGGTTGACGTTTGACCTCCTGCAAGTATCGTAATGGATACTTTGATTGGCCGGTATTTTTTTATAGGGTACTATTTTCTTCTTCTTGTCAGATCATTTCAACAATACCATATCTTCCACTTAAGCGTAAATTTTGCCACGAAGCTATATCAGTTAGAGAAACATTAAGAACCACAGAGGGTACACTGGACTCTGTTGGTTACTTACTTACTTTACTTTACTTCGGCTATCTCCTACGGGAGGATGAGCCGGCTTCATGAACGTCTCGAATCATCGCTGCCCAGGCGCGGCAATTTGTAAGAGAGTTCATGAAGTTTCATGGGAATTTGGTACGAGTGATGTCCCCAGCATCGCTCGGCCTTTTGTTTGAGAGTGCAGCTCTAGCCTTTACACAGCCAAGTGTGACCTACAAGGCAGTAGGAGTGGAGTAAGGAGTCCACTATCCATTGGCAGCCGATGACCGGAGTTCGGTTCATACGCCTTTTTGAATGGGGCCAGACATCCAGGAAAACCAACAAGCCCTTTGTCCATACGTCTGCCGGTGAGCTCCAGTGAGCTTCATACGCCAATCGTTGGAGGTTTGGAATCAGGGTTTAGCCATCTCCCCTAGACTGTCATCCAATGGACAGTCAACCCGGTGGAGAGCGCCGGGCATCCGCTTTCGCCCTCTCACTTTGGTGAGAAACACCTCCGCCACGTGAAGGCAGTGAGTAGGACTTCCTCAGGAGAGGCTATGTAAGACGCCCGGTCATATGGGAGCATTTCAAGAGGTGTGCGGATGGGTGGCCAACCCGCAGCGCAAGGCACCCACCCCCGACCATCCTGAGGCTTTGGAGGCTCTGTTGGTTACGTCCTAGTTCGAAACTCTTCAGTCCTGCTTTATCCCAAGTTGCGAGAATCATTCTCCCTGAAAATTCAGATACATTGGCTAGAATTCAAAATTGCGTGAATTCTAACGTCTCTCAATTCGTGAATTAGCGCGCTACCACAGCCGTCAGCCAATGCCTTCGGTGACCATCCACTTTACCTTGATTTGGTGGGGGGACTCTAGTGGCCATGATTTGCTAGTACAGCCAGAGATTGATATTTAGATTATGAGTAATTTTGTAGGGATTTAGACTTACCTCAATGTTGGTTTCGCCTCACCAATTAACATCAATTAGAGAAGCATTGGAAACCATTAGGGACAGCTGTTGTTTCGTAAAAAAAAAATCTACAGTGAATTTATTTGTTATGTTATCTTTTCGCCTTAGTCTGTTGGTTTTGTCTGACGTGAAAACTGAATGATATGGGTTTTCAATATTTAGAGGGAAAATGGGTGTCACCTTCGTAATTTTATCCTGGGACCTAGTCCGATGACATGCTACCGATAGTCAAAGGTGCTCCAGTGCGCAGGTACTCATGTTAGCTGACAGGATTGATCAGGTTGGAAAATACCTAGTAGTATTGAAACCAAAGCATGACTTCATAAGTCAATGAGTTCCACATCAGCGAGGTGTAGGCTATCTGATTGTCGGGTTGGGGTCCTCGGGGTGGTAGAAAGCAGTTGTTGGAGACAATTGGTGGATGATATAGCTCAAACTCATGGTTCTCAAATGGCTGGAACAGATTCATTCACTCCTTGTGATTTGTCATATCCAATGAGACTCTATTGTTCTTCCATATTAGGATTCATTTTGCCTAACACTTCTGTTTATTATTTGTCTTTTGAACCTCCGTTTATTCTGTTCTCTTGATTTGTGTGCAACATGGAGTGTGGAGTGTGGCAACTCGAACTGGTGGACATCTGTGGGAAGTTCTATGTTGAATCCAATCAGTCAGCCAGTCACAGATATACATTGGTTCAGTGAATCTGAAGCATTCTTTCTTTTTCATTTCTTTTGGTTCCAAGAGGAACATAGGGCTTTAAGTTTTCGAAGTTTCATTAGCGCTTCCCCCTTTATCGGACTTAATACTAATACTACTACTGTAACAACAGAAGACAAGGGCGAAGCAACAGATCGTTTTATTATGAAAATCAACACGTATTTATACATCTTTCAACTACATTATTATAGACAAGCGCAGTCATCTGATTGGTTGTTTAGGTAGACAAACGCAGGCTTCTGGTTGGTTGTTTCGGGATTCCTTGACAAATGCGAATCATATTTTGCCACGTTAACTTTGCTGTGATTGGTTGTTGACTCAGGCTTGTTCATATTTTCTCACGGCCCATATTAGTGACCTAGACCTTAACGTAGATTAGTGCCAACCAATCGGCTAGCAGCCTGCTCTCACCACACTCGTCCCCCCGTCAAATAGCTTCGTGCGCAGACGTTCCGACCTTCTGGGTGCTACATCCTCTAGTTGAGGATTGTTACTGACCGGCTTGTCCCACTGTACCCATCTTTGGAGCTGACTGGCGTTAACTCGTTTCTGTTTATCACCTCTTCGGATGGTATATACTTGACCCCGTCTTTTTGTGATTGTGTATGGTCCTTCCCACTTTGGAAGGAGTTTCCGTGAACCTAGCCCACCTCCAACTGTATATCTCCTGTCTCTACACTTCACTTGGTCCCCGACTGCAAAGGTAATGCACTGCGTCCTTTCTTTCATCTGAGACTTCGCGACATCACTGCGCTGCTTCCGTATTACATTCTTGACTGCCTCTTTCCTCTCTGCTTTTAATTTCGTCGTACTCCACTTTTGGTGCATGGGCCAGGTCTCATTGTGTACCGGAAATCGTGGTTTTCTACCATACATCAGTTGGAAGGGTGACTTCTTCGTTGTTTCCTGAGTGGTAGCGCGATGTGTTAGTAAAATCAGTGGAAGCTCCGTTTCCCAGTTCCCGCCCTTCGAGGCCAGCCACTCCTTCAGTGTACGGTTGTTTCTCTCCGTTAGGCCATTCGTTTGTGGATGGTATGGGGTCGTTCTGATCCTCTTGATGCCCAGCTGTTGCAAACGGGAAGTAAACTCTTCACTCTCGAAACAGGGACCTTGGTCTGTCAGTATTGCCTTCGGTACGCCGTGGTCTGCAACAATGTGTCTAACTACTGCATCTGTCACGGTTCTTGCACGTTGGTCTGGGATTGCTACGGCGTCTACCCATCGTGTCGCGTGTTCCGTCATTACCAAGAGGTACTGATTACCATTGGATGTCTGAGGAAATGGACCCATGACATCTACGGACCACAAGTCACCTATCGCGGTAACTGGAATCGACTGAAGTGGTGGTCGTATACACCGGTCACCTTTCATCAGCTGGCACCGTGGACATCCAAGTACGTATCTTGCTACGTCTTCTCTCATACCTGGCCAGTACATACTTTGTCTTAGGAGATCGGTCGTTCTGGCCACGCCTGTATGCGCTAGCTGGTGACATTCTTCTATCATGTCGTGGCGCGACGATTGAGGTATGACAGCCAGCCAGCTTCCGTCGTTCTCTCGCCAGGTCAGAGTCCCGTAGGCATTCACTCTGAGTCGATCCCTCTGTCTGAGTAGTGTGGTTAGCTCCTTACTCGCCGTAGTTTGATCCACTTCTATTCCGTTGGTGATCACCTGTATTACTGTATTCAGCGTATCGTCCAACCTCTGCCTACGTGCAAGTCTTAGTGGGTCTTGTTCTACTGCATGCACTCCGTAAGCGACCTCGGGCAACTCAGACTCATCTTCTGGTCTCGATAACAAATCTGCCAAGACATTTTCACTTCCAGGAACGTGTGAGATCGTAAAATCGTACTCCTGAAGACGCAACATCCACCGTGACAACTTCCCCCGTGGGTCTCTCGCTGTCTTCAAAAATTGTAGCGGCTTATGATCAGTTTCGATGTGGAACCGCCGGCCGAGTAAATAAGGTCTCCATTTGTCGACTGCCCATACCATTGCTAAACATTCTTTCTCTATCGTTGAATACTTTCTCTCTGCGAGTGTCAAAACCCTACTGGCATACTCAACGATTCCCTCGTCCTGTCTTAGGACCGCACCTATAGCGTAGTCACTGGCATCTGTGCACACTGTGAACTGTCTTCCTGGCACAGGTAGTTTTAGCGTCATTTGTTGGTGGTCGAGCAGCTGTTTAATTCTGTCGAATGTCCTCTGCGATTCTTCCGACCAAACAAACTTTGGCTCACCTAGTAGCCTGTATAGAGGGGCTGCTATCTCATTGAAGTTCTTCACGAAGCGGCTATAAAACGCTGCTCTACCCAAGAATTGTCTCAGTTTTCTCTTTGAATTCGGGGCTGGAATCGTTTTAATCGTCAAAATTTTCTCCGGCAGTGGCGGTGTGACGAAAGATACAATCCTCCTCGTGGTTTTCTGGCCCTTGAAAAATGGTGCATGGGAATGATGTTCTGCACAAAAATCACTTCAGAAAGAAATGGCAGTTTATGGTAAAAACCTGGTTCAACCAGCCAGCCCGTAAAGAACGTAGACGTCAGGCCAGGAAAGCAAAAGCTCAACGCATTGCCCCTAGACCGGCCTCAGGACCACTTCGTCCCATTGTGAATTGTCCAACTTTCCGATACAATATGAAAGTTAGGGCTGGTCGTGGTTTTACACTTCAAGAGATACGCGCTGCTGGTTTAAGTCCAAAGTTCGCCCAAACAATTGGCATCTCTGTAGACCACAGAAGGCGAAATGTTTCTGTCGAAGGGTTACAACGGAATGTCGCTAGACTTAAGGCCTACAAAGCCAGACTTATACTCTTCCCGTTGAATCCAGCCAAGCCTCAAGCTATGGAAGCAAAGGCTGACGATGTCAAGAAGGCCACCCAACTTCGACGCCCTATATTCCCGATTACTCAAAGAGCTAAACACTTGAAGGCCCATGAACCAACTCCATCTGAACTTAAATACCGGGCTTTCCATGCCATACGTCAACATAGAGCTAATGCTCGTCTATACGGAAAACGCTTGAAGGCTCGTCAATCTGCTGCTGCAGAATAATCATTTGGAAATAGATTTTTCTCTGGGTCAAATGGCACAGCGTCTTGGAAGAAATTGGTTGAACGACTAGTGTCCGAGTTTGACAGCGAAACAGACAGACAGCTAGCAATGCAGCAGTTCCGGTCAATGAAGCTTGGACCTGATGGAGACCCGCTAGTGTTGGCGGTGAAACTGACTAATCTACTTCGACGCGCACTTCCCACTTTAGATGAAGAATCAGAAGCGCAGTTACTGTCTTCCCAATTCATCGAGAGTGTCCCAGACCACATTTCTCAGCGATTACAACTGGTTAACGCAACGCAGCCGATGGATATTAGCGAGCTGGCGAAGGTGACCAGACAGCTGCTGAGCACAACGGTAACCGCTATAGACCAACCAAAACCAAACGAGTATGAGCAGAAAATTGAAGCATTGCAGCGGGAAGTGGCGGCGTTAAAGTTGGCTGATAGAAAAGACCGGTGTTTTGAATGCGGTTAGCCGGGACACTGGAAAAGACACTGCCCAGAAAGGCGAAAAAAAAAAAAATTTCAGACGGTATAATGCTTGTTCTTTCTTTCGTATGAACCTAGATTTAGTGGGGGCTATTGAGAAAGGCGCTCTGTATTCGAAGTTGCGAGTGAATGATCGAGAAGTAGTATGTTTGATAGATACAGGGGCGGCCGTGTCGTTAATAGATAAGAATTTATGTAAGAGTGTTAGCCCGTGTTCATTGACAGTACAAACAGTAGGCGGGTATGTGTTGCGTATAACGGGTAGATCGAACTGTACGGTCGTTGTTAGTGGCTGTGAGGTGACGTTTCCTTTCATTGTTGTACCCGAACTACAGCGAACGATATTAGGAGCGGATTTTCTGCGTGAGATTGGTGCCATAATCGACACGCAAGCGAACGTGGTGGTCACGAAATACGGGCATATCAACATGTATGAGACCAGCGAGATAGCAGCGATTAAGCTGCCGACGGTACACAATGTGACAGAGTTAATTAGTAAATACGATCATCTGTTCACTGGAGATGGCGACCCATACGGTTATTGCGATAAGGTGAATCATGAAATTCCGTTAAGTGATTCGAAAGTAAGGTCATTTACAACGCGAAGAGTTCCATGTCATCTGGAAGGCGAAGTGGAGCGACAAGTGCAAGAGATGTTAAAAGATGACATTATTGAGGAAGCTGATAGCCCGTACAACTCTCCAGTGCTGTTAGTAAAAAAAGCGAATGGGAAGTATAGATTCTGTGTTGATTTTCGACAGTTAAACAGTATGACAGAGTTAAGACCGTGTGCCATGCCAACAGTGGTAGAAACTTTAGATCGCCTACAAGGCGCGAATGTGTTTTCGGTTCTCGATCTTCGCTCAGGATACTGGCAGATACCGATAAAACAAGGTGATAGAGATAAGACGGCTTTCATCGTGGGTCAGACACAATATCGATTTAAACGCATGCCGTTTGGACTAGCAGGTGCACCGTTTACGTTCAGACGACTGATGAAGCTATTACTTAGGAACTTGAAAAACGTGGAGGTTTATGGTGATGATCTCGTCATATACAGTCAAAACGAAAACGATCACGTCAACCATGTAGAAGCCGTGCTGCGACGCATCGAAGAGTTTGGACTACGCGTCAACAAAACCAAGTCCCAGATAGCCAAAAAGAATGTTACTCTGTTGGGACATAAAGTGGGAAATGGTGAGACTACTACTAATACTACTGTAACAACAGAAGATAAGGGTCAGGCGACAGATCGTTTATTTAGGAAATCAACAGATATTTATATATTTTCATGTACATTATTATGGATTATTGTCAGCAAAGAAAAACTTTTCTGATTGGTGGTGGTTTCTCGCTGGACTTTAATCTTTCATCACTGTGGCCGTTTCTTGAAGTTCAAATTATCGATCTGCAAATTGTATCCGCCTACGCAAAGTCTACTGTGACTGGTTGTTGAGTCAGTCTTTGTTCTTATTTTTGTCATGACCAATATTGGGGACGTACACACTGACGTAAATTACTATCTACCAATTTCGTCTAGCAACCAGCCCTCATCACACTGTTACTGGTTGGGCGATGTGATAGGACGGCGTCGGTAGCCGGGATTCGAACCCCGAACCATGGATGTGTGGCTGGCGGCCATTCTACTCTTGAACCATCGGATCTGGAGCATTAATCAAATGTTAATTTCTTTCCTAACAATTATTTATTTTTCCAGATATCTCTTGAGAAGGCTAAATCATCTTTGGAAGAAGCAGAGAAAGAGGAAAAACTTCGTATTGATGGAGCAAAATCTTCAGCTGAAGAATTCGTTAAAGCCCGTAAAGCTGTCAGTCAACAACGCGATAAAATTGACCAAACAGTTAAAGCATTATCAGATGCAGAGAAAGAAGCAAGCCAGCTGGTTCAGTTCTTAAATCAAACAAATAATGCAATAGATAAACTCTCGCATCAAATTGAAATGCAAAATAAGGAGAGTTCGGAAGCTTACACTAGGGTGAGTTGTTCATCTTCCTCTGGTTTTTGGTTTTGTTTTAAGTCGCATCTGCCCCAGTGGATTCACTGACTGCTGATTAAATCTCAGCACGTATGCGAAAGACTCATGTGTTATTTACCAACAAATTTACGTTTTTCTTTGTAGCTGTGAGTTAGACACACGGTCATTGAAAATGGAAAATGTGAAAAGTCTGACTAACTGTCTTTGACCACATATATTTTCGTTCTGTCCTATGTGTAAGTTGTGCAACATGGTGAGTAATATTGAGGTGGTTGGGAGTAGATCATTGGGTGAAGAGGGAGGTGAGTTAATCAACGAGGTTGTAAAAGGGAATCGGTTGAGATGGTCAGGATATTTGTTGCACATACTGAACCATCGCCTTCCTCTCTGAGCCATGTTAGCTGACGTAGGATTAGGTTGGATATGAGTTAGGTAAGGCTCACTCACTCGGTAGAGTAAAAACCAATGAAGGTTGGAAACAATTGGTGATATGACTCAAAGTGATCGTTCTCAATAGCGCAGATGCATCCACTCCCCTTGTGACTTATAATTTCCAATGAAACTGTTTTGTTCTTCATCATTACTATTCTCTACCTTTTTGTGTGTTACATGGAGTGTGGCGACTTGAACTGGTGCACATATGTGCAAAGTTCTATGTCGAAAACAAACAGACAGAGTTAGATAAGAGTGGTCATACCAAAACCTGGCATCAGTTCATGAATTCTTTGTCAATTGATTTCAGGATCCTGGGGGATATTTAAAACTGGTGACTTGTGACTATTGTTGTGATTTGGCTCAAAATCATTCTCAATAGCACAAGTGCATTCACTCCTTGTGAACACCCATGACCCATCCACTAAATGGTCATTTTTCCCCCATGTTACTATTCTTTCTCTGGGCTATTTCTGTTGATTATAGTTCTTTTCAATCTCTTTTTCTCTCTCTTTTGTCTACCTCTGTGTGCTACAGTTGTGTGTGACAATTTGAAGTGTTGCTACACATCTGTGTACAGTTCAATACTGAAACTGAATCAGTTAGGATAGATAATATGAACACATTCCTTCTGTTTTGTTACTTCACAGCTTACTTCTCAACTGGCTACAATGCATATCTATATGAATTACAACAAAATAGACATATGTAAAAATTATATTTGTAAAATTTCAGCGAAATTGAAGTGAGTTTTGCTCGGCAAACTGGTCCGTTAATTATTATATTATGATGAGTATAGTACTCCCTTGGGTTCCAAGTGGAAAGTGTGACATAGTTTTCAGCTGCTTCTGTACCCGTAACGTCTCATCTCAACGCCCGTCTTCACACGACCTCCTGCATGTGACACTCGGATATGTCGATTTCGTATCACATTTGGGTTCCAATCGAGCAACTGTCTGTTGCGTGATGTCCCCCAGCGATCTCCCCAGCTTGTGAGGGATCCTTCTCTATTTGTTGGTTGGGCAATAGGTCCTTGGTTGGTCCGTTTTCAGCGTTTCTTGTTGCCAGTCTTTTTTTGTTTTCTGGTTTTCAGTATGTGAAGCGAAGGTGGTAGCTATGTTGATGAAAGTCTGCAACGGGCTGTTGGAAATGCTTTTATTGTAATGCACCTATTCTATCAAACATACAGTAGCACTGACGACTGTCCTGAAATTAGTGTTGCAAATTTGATGCTTATTACGTGTACTGAGTGAGTGCTGTAGATCTACACAATAATTTCAAAGTGGTGAAGACACATTGTTTTTCCGATCCTGGCTACTTTTGAAACCATCATTCGTGGTGCGTGTAGCTAAAACAATGCTTCCCAGGTGGGGGTAAGTAGATGAAGTGACTTCCTTTGGATTTACTCTGTTGATGGTGATTTGTGCTTGTTATTGTTCTTGGTTTTGATCTCTCCATCTTCTCCCTCTGTTTGCTTATTTAATTTTACCTTCTTCAACAGATAAATCAACTGTTACATTCGTTTCCTTGGATTGAAAGGGAAAAACATCTGTTTGGTGTTGAAAATACAAGTTATAATTTTAGTACACGTGATATTCCTGAAACCCGTCGTAGAATACAAGAAATAAAAGAACAAAAGGAACGTCTCAGTCGTACAGTTAATATGCGTGCAGTAAATATGCTTGGTAGTGCGGAGAAACAATTTTCTGATCTAATCAGAAAACGTGACATTGTCTTAGCGGATAAGGAGAAAATTCAGTCAGTTATCGATGATTTGGATAAACGGAAGGAAGAGGTGTTGATCAATGCACATACTAAGGTCAATGCGGTCAGTTCAGGTTCTACAGTTTTTAATTGGGTGTTTTTTGCACATACTCACGATAAGTACCATGTGTGTGTGTGTGTGTGTGTGTTGTGTATGACGTTTGACTTCTTTTTGTGCGCGAGTTTTCGCCCATATATACAGAATTTTGTTTGCATTCCTTCCGGTCTAAGGTTTTTGAGTGTCAGTAGTTGTGATATTGTTAATTTTACGGGGTTAAAACACACTGATTATGGATCACACACATAGGTGATCCCGATTTGATTCCCTGCCACCTACACACTCCCAGTTCTCTCCAAGGCGCCTGCAATAAGCACGGCAAAAAAGGGAAGTTTGGGGGGGGGGTGAGACCAGCTGTTCATGCTATTTATGCATTTACCATGTCAGAATAAGTATAAAATACATATATATTCATGAAAATAATGTGTATGAAAGACACAAAAATGTTATACAGGATTCCTTTCTCTGACGTGTAACAAAAATGGCTACCAGTTTTTCATCGGTGTATCAATAGCTAAGTTGAACCACATTCTATACACATCTATATACATTCAATACATTCATCTAAAAATGGCTCTAAATAATAACATCTCTTTGGGATCCGCTAATGGCTCTAATCCTATTTTCTTCGATCTTCCCCAAAAGTCGTCGTCAGAATTGGTGTAAGTCCCTGTAATCGGATCCACAAAATCATTAGTTTGGTTTACTCTATAGCGAATGTATATATATATATATATCCCTGGTATTACAACGAGTTATATCCTTTGCATTAGTTTGTGTGTATCATAGATCCTCGTTTCGCCGACCGAGTGATTATTCGTATTTAAAATAGTTGACTTTCTGTTTGATATTGTTTCGACGAGTCCTTTACGTAAAGTGATGTCTTACAGTTTAATCATCTAAACGTTGTTTTTCACAATCACGGTTGTATTTCTTTATAAGGACTGTTTCATCTACATGTGCTGTGACACCTCCCAATAAAAAAAATAGATCTCTCCAACTTCCAGGATGCAATATCTCTGCAGTGCTGGTACCATTGAACGGTTGAAACAAGACTATTTTCTCGGTTTCAGCAGCTTTAGCCCTCATAGCGGGTTTTCAAAACCCAGTAATTGCAAATATATACAATATGGTTTAGTGACAAGTGGGACCTAGCAAAAAAAATGTTCCTGCGAAATTGTGTATTCTTCAGCTTACCCTCTTTCTCATACTAACTAACTCATCTCAAATAAATTCCACAAAGGCGGAGATGTCCATCAACCATTCTACTGTAGCTCATGATACCTTCACAGGAACAAATCCTTTCTTTTACTAATCAACCTAACTTCTAAGCAATACTGGAAAGCTTGGTTTTCATCAGATTTCAGATGCCACTGTGTTAGAGCGGGTGTTTCACTCAAATCAGGCAGAATAAAAGCCTGAACTCTCGTGAAGAGAGAACCATTGGTCCATCCCAGGTCATCGATGCGGTCGCACTCCACTGGCAGTTAGTGGCCCTTAATGTTTAGCTTGGCCCGGTAGTGTTGTTTATTTTCTTCAAGAGTTATGAGGTTGGTAGCCTTATGCTTAACTATTCCTCTTTTTCGGGCACACTACCTATTGGTTAGTAAACTAAGCCAAACTATTATCAAATGCATTTGTGACTGGGAATGGAGCCTAGACAACAACATGCTTGTGCTTGGCGATCATTATACCACTGAACTGCTGACGCACGTTAGAATTAGTGAGAGGAAAATAATTAAAAATGTTGGTTTACGAAACCTTTTAACTCATTTTCAAAAGCTTATCGCCACCCAGAATCACTGAAAATCTCTCAAAAAATAGGAATTGAACAATTTGAAAGGCAAATCGTACGAACGCACGCAGTTGTGATGAGTAAGAAAGATTTAGTCTGAGGTAAATTTGAATATGGTGAAAATCCCCATTAATTATTACCATGTCAGTTGAGAGCCCGAATAGCTCATCGGTAACGTTTTTGACTGAATGACTGTCTGACACGGGTTTGAATCTTGGAAGATACATAAGTTCCTATAAGGTTGCAGATACATATGTTTTGATAAATGGTGAGTACGATTGAGCACGAACCCTAGGTCCTCCGACAAGGCTTCCTGTCGATTGCCTTTAACCATCTAACAAGAAATTGTATAGACCAATTTTAAATGATATTTTTCCTCACGAAACTAGGGAATACTGAATCATTGACTAATTCTCTGATAATCTTAAACTCCTTTTTGTAAAGACAGTCTGCAAGTTAGGAGTGTGGCAACAGCTTCGAAAAAGACCTGCTTTTCGAGGATGAAGGGTGGACATGTCTCCATTTATTTTTTTGTGTGCAATATATATATATATATATATATATATATATATATATATATATATATATATATATATATATATATATATATATATATATATATATATATATATATATATATATGTTATGCCTTTAATTTATGTCGAAGGTAGTGATGTTTACATTCACTCTGTACTATGTATTTGTTTTTCTCTCCTTCAGGACTTCTGTAATATATTTTCAACTTTACTACCTGGAACTAGAGCACGATTATCTCCACCAAGTGGGATGACTGTACTCGATGGATTAGAAATCAAGGTGGCCTTTGGCAATGTATGGAAGGAATCACTTACTGAGTTAAGTGGTGGTCAAAGGTATGTATGACTTATGTGTACATGTTTTAAACACCTGATGCTATATACTACTGATTGATTGATTGATTGATTAGTGTAAGGAATAGTCGGATACTACTCATATATACCAACTGGTATAGTGCTTGTTCGCTAACCGCTGAACGACCGTTTCACTCATATATAATTCATTGTGTCATTTGAGCGTGGGTGGGTGTCTTGCGGGGGTGGGTGCCTTGCGCTGCGGGTTGGCCACCCCTCCGCACACCTCTTGAAATGCTCCCATATGACCGTGCGTCTTACATAGCCTCTCCTGAGGAAGTCCTACTCACTGCCTTCACGTGGCGGAGGTGTTTCTCACTAAAGTGAGAGGGCAAAAGCGGATGCCCGGCGCTCTCCACCGGGTTGACTGTCCATTGGATGACAGTCTAGGGGAGATGGCTAAACCCTGATTCCAAACCTCCAACGATTGGCGTATGAAGCTCACTGGAGCTCACCGGCAGACGTATGGACAAAGGGCTTGTTGGATGTCCTGGATGTCTGGCCCCATTCAAAAAGGCGTATGAACCGAACTCCGGTCACCGGCTGCCAATGGATAGTGGACTCCTTACTCCACTCCTACTGCCTTGTAGGTCACACTTGGCTGTGTAAAGGCTAGAGCTGCACTCTCAAACAAAAGGCCGAGCGATGCTGGGGACATCACTCGTACCAAATTCCCAAGAAACTTCATGAACTCTCCTACAAACAACTCTCACCATGCTACGGCGTTCCCGGTAAGCGACGCGCCCTGTGCTCACCCGGTGGCCAGTGTGAAAAGTAAGCTAGCTGGGAAATTAACACTTAGAAACCAACTATTTGTTGGCTGCTGGAATGTTAGGACGCTGTTGGATCCTGGTAGCCAGTCTATCACCATGCGTTCTTTATATGACTACAAGGTAGACATAGCGTGTCTATCTGAAGTGAGGTTACCCGATCATGGCTCCCGCCGAATAGCCGTTCCTGGAACAGATTCTTCATTCTGGTTGCTTCATAGTGGCCCCCAGAATAATTCGGGACAACATGGGGTAGCATTTGCTCTCAGTAACAAAGCCAATAATGCCCTAATATCATTCGAACCGGTCAACTCCAGAGTTGCAGTCGCTAGGTTCAAGGGTTCCCCGCTCGACATTTCTGTTCTCGCTGTCTATGCCCCAACCCTCGACTCTGATGAAAGTATCAAAGACGAATTTTATGACAATCTTCAAGAGGCAATCAACAAAATCCCAAAGCGTGACGTTCTCATAGTAGCCGGCGATTGGAACGCCCGCACTGGCCCTTCAGACGACGCGACAAAACATATACTAGGCAAACACGGTCTCGATCAGCGCTGCCGTAATGGTGATAGACTTTTATCTTTTTCTGATTACAATCGATTATATATCACCAACACTCGATTTCAACACCCCAGAAAACATCTTCTCACCTGGTATTCGAACGACGGTCGCACTGCACATCAGATCGACTACATCCTAGTGCGCTCACGCTGGATCTCCTCGGTGGAAGACTGTCGATCCTATCGTGGAGCAGAGGCCGGAAATAAAGGGGGATCAGACCATACTCTAGTTAGGGCGAAATTCAAACTTCGTTTAACGACACGCCAGAAGACGCGACCTCCGAAGCGTATCAATGTTGCCCCGCTTCAATGTTCTACAAGACGACAAGCCTTGTCCAAACAAATCCAGGCCGAACTAAGCACCGCAGATGAACCAACATCCACATCTTCTAATACACCCGAGACACGATGGAATCATTTCAAAGAAGTAGTCTCTAAAGCTTCAATGACGCATTTGGGTACCACATCCAAGAAGCAGAAAGACTGGATTTCAGAGCACACCATGCTTCTATCCTCGCAAGCCAGAGACGCTCGCCTAGCAAAGTCTCCAGTTTATCGCTCCCTCAGGCGCAAAGCTACACAGTCTGCTAGGAACGACAGAAATCGCTATTGGTCTAACGTGGCGACTAACATGGAAGCAGCAACAAATGTAGGCGATTTCGGAAAACTTTATCGCCTCTTACGCCAATCATCTGGCAAACGCCTTAACAGTCATGCTGTGTTACGCACAGCATCAGGAGAAATTATTTCGGACACCAATGGTAAGATGGAACGATGGGCCGAACACTTCAAGCAGCTACTCAATCGCGACGCTGGTCAACCGTCTCATCGACCGATACGACACTTACCAACACCCTACGTAGTTGACTGCGATCCACCCACTCCAACCGAAATAGCTAAAACAATTAACACACTCAGAAACAAAAAAGCTCCGGGCGAAGATGGTCTACCCCCAGAAATATACAAGGCCTGCACTCCAGCGCTAATCGATGCACTGCACTCGCTGTTCTGCTCAATTTGGGAGTCCGAAACCATTCCTTCCGATTGGAGCACCTCAGTTCTGCTACCGTTCCACAAAAAGGGAGACAGGTCAATATGCGAGAACTACCGAGGCATAAGTCTGATTGATATCGCTGCTAAGGTTTTTGTTTCCATTCTCCTGAACCGCTTCGCGGCCGAACGCCACGTGCGAACAAGGCCAAATCAAGCCGGATTTCGACCTGGAAGAGGCTGTGTTGATCAATTATTCACACTGCGAAGAATTTTGGAACACAGGGACAAATTCCAACAGCCGACGGTTGCCTGCTTCATCGACTTCCAAGCGGCATTCGACTCAGTTGATCGAGGAGCACTCTGGTATCTAATGGAGCTCGACGGAGTTCCGACCAAGCTAATCAACCTGCTCAGGTCATACTACTCCAACACCAAAGCTCGAGTCCGAGTGAACGGTGAAGAGTCCCGCACTTTTGAGGTAACCAGCGGTGTCCGGCAAGGTTGTCCAGCATCCCCCATCCTGTTCAATTTCACAGTTGATTGGATTTTGCGGCACGCCCTAACCGAGCACCACGGCGTCCAACTTTCGCCCGATATTCACATAACCGACCTCGAATTCGCCGACGACGTCGTGCTGTTAGCTGAAAACTTCCCCGATATGCAACAGGCGCTCGACCAGATAAACCACCTCGCGTCTACTATCGGTTTGAAAATTAACACTTCCAAAACCAAAATGTTTTCGAACACATCCACCGGCAATGATGAAATCTTATCCTTAAATGGAGCACCTATTGAAATTGTGCCATCCTTCAGATATCTGGGATCCATAATGCTCCCCAACGGCCAAGCGAAAAACGAAGTGAATGCGCGAATCTCCAACGCCCGGAATGCGTTTCTACAGCTGAGGAGCGTTCTATGGAGCAAGAGAGAAATCAGTCTCAGGACTAAAATTCGGATCTACCAAGCTTCCATACGACCCGTTCTGCTGTATGGCTGTGAAACCTGGCCTCTTCGCGCGGAAGATTTACGCAGACTCGAGGTATTAGACCATTGGTGTCTCAGGTACATTCTGCATGTTCGTTGGCAGGACAAACTCTCCAACGAAGAAGTGCGTCGGCGTTGCTACAACATCAACCAAATTCCAGTACTGGTCCAACAACGCCGCCTTCGGTGGTTTGGCCATGTTCTGCGCCGACCAGATGACGATCTGGTCAAATCAGTTCTAAATCCCTCGCCATTACCATCTTGGCGATGTCGCAGAGGCGGACAGCTGAAGACATGGCTTGGTACAGTCAAGGCAGATATGGAGTGCCTGGGGCTACAAACGGTCTACGGACTCCGTATGTGGAACAAGAATTGGATATCCCTATCACAAAACCTTGCTTCAGATCGCCGCGCCTGGGCAGCGATGATTCGAGACGTTCATGAAGCCGGCTCATCCTCCCGTAGGAGATAGCCGAAGTAAAGTAAAAGTAAAGTAAGTAAGTATTTGAGCGTCATATTTCAAGCAAATATCCATACTTTCTTTTGCTTAGGTCGTTAGCCGCTCTTTCACTCATTTTGGCACTGCTTCTGTTCAAACCAGCTCCAATATATATACTGGATGAGGTCGATGCAGCTCTTGATTTATCTCACACTCAGAATATTGGTCAGTTGATCAAGAATCATTTCCGGCATTCACAGGTATGTTGAAGTGATTGTTATTATTATTCCTTGTGGTTCCGAGTGGCACATAGGTAGGATTTCGGCTGGAGTACATTTCTACTCCAATGCGTTCTCTGCAGGCTTTTATTTGCCCCCCCTCTCCCCCCAATTGACGATAAACTCTCAATTCCTCCTCCACACCAACTCCTCCATGTAACACGTTGGCGTATGTGCCTTACTCATCAATTCACATTCTAATTTCACTCTTAGGACTTGATTTGTAATTTGACTTAAAACTCTTCTCATAGGGTATATCCAATCAATTCATTTCCATTTCCTTCTACATATTCACTGGTGGGTTAGGCTCAGTGGCTGGTTTATTCCCTTGGTGCCAGCATTTCTGATAGCTTATTCTTCTCTGAGATGTGGTCATGTAATATTGTAGTATTCAGACAAAAAACAAGGCAGGTGTATATAAAAGTTTTCAGTAACCTTGTGGTGATAACGATTTCGGTGACTTACAAGCTAATTCTCTTAACTGACTCTTTGACCTGACATTGATGCTAAGTACTGTGGATTATCTGTACTCCGATTTCAGGAGGAATGAATACCTGTCTTTCTTCCCCCCTGTCTAATCTTGCCTGACTTTTTAAAGTTTACCTATGACACCTGTAACCCATGCACATGCCATAGGTTTTAAGTAATCTGCTTTTTCCAGCTCTCTTAGGTTGACCTACACCTGTCCACCAGCCAGTCGAGCTGTTAAAGCCTAACATTTTTCACTGGCCCTTTTGACTTCATTATTGCCTCTACCTCTTATCTGACAGCGTTTCTATGGACGCGTGACCACATGTGAAAGCATTTCAAGAGGTAGGAAGACCCGAAGACAACCATTCATGGAATCACTTCGTTTATGCAAGGGAGGGCAGTATTTATTTCCAGTGGTTTTTATTCCTCTAGGCTTGTTTGACTAACTTCCCATTTTACTTATATTTTATTATTATTTTATTTTTGATTTTATTTCCAGTTTATTGTAGTTTCCCTGAAAGATGGTATGTTCAATAATGCAAATGTCTTATTCAAGACGGCATTTATCGACGGTGTCTCAACTGTCACCCGACATGTGCCCTTACAGCTTCAACGTCATGGTGGTGATGATGATGATGATGACGATGATGAGGATGACAGTAGTGACGAAAACAATAACAACAATAAAAATAAAAATCAGAAGCAGAATCAGCGGAAGCGGAGGTCAAGAGGAAATTCAAGAAAGCTTTGAAAATAGAGAGAGGCAGATGGCTGTGTGTATATCCTTATCAAACGTCCCAAAATATATTTTTTTTATATGTTCACTTGTTGTATTGTTGTATTTATTTCCCCTGAAGATTATTCAATAAAAGATCATTTCATTGGGGGGGTGAGGATATGAATTGTTTCTATGTAGAAATTTCGGTGGCACAGCGGTTAGGACGCTCGCCAACTATGCCTCACATGGTCCAGGGTTCAATCCCCGGCCACACCAACACACTCTTTTTACCTCACTGAGCCAGAATAAATGCTGGTAAAGAGAAAAGGTTGGAGGACATGAGGCTAACAACCCCATCCTGTAAAAACTAAACACTGCTACAGAGACTTCAAGCCATTAGCTTGATGATCTATACTGTTGTTCTACTGGGAACGTGAAGGAAAAATTAAAATTAATTAGAAATGTTGTTAACTGTTTTGTGCGCTGCTGTCTGTTAACTTTACTGCTTCTGTCTGCTATAGTGAATGTGATTATTGCGATTGATTGTGTTGTCCTCTCCTTGCTAGTCATTGAGAATTACAGTTTTGTCGCCCACACTCTAACTGATTCTTAAGCACTTTACTCTTCCAGTCAGTTAGTGAATGATTCCATCGGCTTTTGGATTATCACTTCTCTGTACCTACACTTATTTTTTTAATTTTATTTTTGATTACAGCTTGATTCTACACTGCAGCTTTTGGTATAAGTATGGAATTTTCAGCATATGATATCGGTAGCCCAAATTTTGCAGGCCGATCATAGATACCAGGTGTGCGTCAGTGGCAGGGAATCGAACCTCGGACCATGTGTATGGTCGGCGAGAGTCCTAACCACTGTGCTACGGACGCGCTTCAGCCTGGTTAAGCCACTAAGCAGTTGTAGTATTATCCGCCGTGACTCTTTTGCTGTCTCCCTATCCCTCACACACACACACACACAACAACAACAACAACTGTGTGGCTCACAACATACCTTGGACTTTGAAAAACCATTGCTTTCGGAGAAACTACAGAGTTCAAACATAATCTAATAACATATTCCAGTTCTTTTTTTCTAGCTGCTTAGATGTGTGTGTCCATCTTTAGTAACAGTTCTGAGCCTAGGCGAAAGGGAACTATAAGTCCTGTCTTTCTTGAAATTAGATTCGTAACTATTACCTTTGGTTGAGTAGGTAGTGAGGTGTACCCGGTTTCAATGATGACGAGCTCAACCCCAAACGATCCAAGTGGCTTGTGAGAAGGCGCTACTTGTCGATTTGAGAGGTCTCTGTCTGTCTGGATTCAACATAGAACTTGGCACCGAAGTGCAGCAGTTCGAGTTGCCACGATTTGAGGGGTGCCCAATCAGTCACTAGTATGTAACATGATGCATTTATGCTTACCTTGCCGATTACCATTTATGATAGTATCAGGCGGATGACATATTTTGTTTGTTTGTGTGTGTGTGAGTTGAACAATTTCGGTTTGCAAAGGAAACTGGTGAAATTTCATCTCCTTGAAGTATGTAGATTGCGAATTTGGTTTAATGGGATTAAAAGGACTGGGTAAGTACAATAACAGATGTGGAAGGTATTATGTAAATCTAAGGTGATTGACATGATAAGAAAGGTCATGAAGTTGTTAAAGGTTAAAGAGAGAGAGAGGAAAAATGGGATAGGGATTTAAAGTGTTAATTATTATTATTATTTTTAATGATGGATTTCAGACTATCGGCTTCTGCAATAATATCATCCCTCAACATCTCTTCAACCTGTCTTGCAACCTTGCTTTCTAAGTGACACGGGATTCTTCGAGTAACGAATGGTCTCACTTTTCCGCTTGTCACTGGAATTTCATGTCGCACTTTATCACAGTAACCGTACGGATCTCCCTCTCCAGTGAAAAGATGGTCGTATATGCTAAGTAACTTTGCTACACTTAGGACTTCCGACGCCGCAATCCCTGCTACCTCACTATTCTCGTGCACGCTGAAACAACCATACTTTGTAACGACAACCCTTTTCTTCATATTAACCACTGGATCCACTTCTCGCAAAACGTCTGCCCCAAAGATTGTTCGGCGCAATTCAGGTACGATCAGGAATGGGAACGTCACACTATCCTTTCCAATTCTAACTCTGCAGTCTGACACCATCGATTCTTAATACATGACCCCCCACTGTCTGTACTGTCAATGAACACGGTCTTATATTCTCACATAGGCTCCTCTCTACGAGTGAGACTGCTGCCCCTGTGTCAATTAAACACACCAATTCGCGGTCATTTACACATAACTTCGAATATATCGCCCCCTTCTCCACTGCCCCTCTTACCTCAAGTCTTGGAACACGGAAAGAAGACATGGTATATCTTTTAAAACCTCTTCTTTGTCGTCTCTCCGGGTAGCGGTTTCTCCGGTGGCCCAGTTTACCACATGCGAAACACCGGTCTCTCCGCACGTTCAGTCTCAGTGCGGCTACTTCACGTTGCAACTCTTCGATCTTCTGCTCGTATTCCTTTGGCTTTGGTTGCTCTATAGCGGCTACAGTTGTGCTCAGCAGCTGTCTGGTCACCGCCAACTCACTAACATTCATCGGCAGCACAGCGTTAACCAGCTGTAATCGCTGAGAGATGTGGTCTGGGACACTTTTGATGAATTTGGAACTCAGTAACTGCGCCTCTGATTCCTCATCCCAAAGTGGGAAGCGCACGTCGAAGTAGATTCGTCAGTTTCACCGCCAACACTAACGGGTCTCCATCAGATCGCAGCTTCGTTGAACGGAACTGCTGCATTGTCAGCTGTCTGTCTGTTGCGCTGTCAAACTCTGACACCAGTTGTTCAACCAATGTCTTCCAAGACGCTGTGCCACCTGACCTGTCCACGCTGTCATATGTCGCCTTCCCTTGTCCTCTCAACAGCATCCCCAGGACAACCGCCTTCGCCGCCTGCTTCTTGACACCTACTAGCTCAGCGACGGCCTCGAAGTCACATAAGAAGCTCCTTATGTCTCCTTCTTCAGACGCAGTTGGCCATGGGATCTTCATTTTTCGGAGGCAGCGGCACCAATTGTAACGACAGAAGGCAAGAGTCAGGCAACAGACCCTTTATTAAGGAAGTCAACACGTATTTATATACTTTTCATGTACAGTATTATAGCAAACAGCACAGTTTTCTGATTGGTTCTTTCTCGCAGAAAGTTGACCTTGCATTTCTCTGTGGTTGTTTCTTGAATGTCAGGTCGTCAATATGTCAACTGTATCAGCCTATGCAAAGTCTGATGTGATTGGTTGTTGAATCAGTCTTGTTCATATTTTCTCACGATCAATATTTGCAACATAAACATTGACGTAAATTAATGTCTACCAATTGGCTATCAGCCTGCTCTCACCACACATTGTATAGTAAGTAAGTAAGTAAGTAAGTAAGACTTTCGCTGAAGAAATCCTATAGCATACTATGAAAAGTGATGATGGTATTTTTTCTAATTGTATATAAGTCTATAGTTCGAAAATAAATTTCATTGTTACTTCTGAAAATTTTATTATTCTGTTAAGGTGTGCGTAGAGTAGTCCGCAAGTATTCATATCAATCAAACGGTAATATTTTAAATGTTATTCCATTTGCGTTCACAGTGTAACATAGGGCTTGTAGCTTTAACTTTGAAGTCGCTGTAGTATTTTGTATTATATCTACTGGGTGTAATTGCTTGCCTCGTTCTCAGCTTATCCTCCTTACCGAGTTTACATCCAGCTGATATAAGTTTAAGGGTGCATCGACAGAGGATCAAACCCCGGACCACATGCATGGTTGGTGAACATTCCAACACCACACCACTGTTGCCCTAGTCAACCAGTAACATATAATATCAGACTGTTTTGATTGCCATATATGTTTTCAAGCAGAAGACATTATGTGGGATCTCAATGTTTATCTTCTTTCCTTCACGTTCCCTAGTGGAACATAGGGCTTCGAGCTAGTGGCTTGAAGTTTCTGTAGCAATGTTTAATTTTACAGGATGGGGTTGCTAGCCGCATGCCCAACCTTTTCTCTTTACCAGCATTATTTCTGGCTTAGTGAGGTAAAAGGAGTGTGTTGGTGTGGCCGGGGATCGAACCCCGGACCGTGTGAGGCATGGTCGGCGAGCGTCCTAACCGCTATGCCACCGACGCACCAGTGTTTATAGTTTCCAAATAAAATTTAATTATTCTTCCTTCTGATCTGTGTAATTAGTAAATGACGAGTACATTTGTGTGTATCACTAATGGACATAACCCTAACTCACCTCAACGACTCAAGGATTGACCTGTTACCAGGGAACATGCAGATGATACAGTCCTTCTAGGTGAAGATGCTGGCAAAGTTCAGCCTTCTGAACACCTTTAGCAGCAATCATTTTGTTTAGCATGCGATTCGCTCTCTTTGTCAAATGTCAGATATTGCTAAAGGACAGGACTACATTCACTCCTAGCTTAAAGATGGTGAGTGAAGTGATAGCTGAACATGTTGACCACTTCATTTATTTGGAAAGTTTCATCAGCCGGCGCCAGCGGGTTTATCGCTGATGAAATCTCAGCGTGGATAGAGAAGGCTCTTTTGGCATTGTCAGCCAACTTACACCATCTTTGGCTTAGTTGGCTTGATATCCGGCTGTCTTTGGAGTAAATGGCATTTCTATTACTCAGCAGTTCACTGTGTCTTCCTTTATGGCTGTCAGTGGGACATGACCATTTGGAAGTGGAAGACATGAAAAGGCTAGCTAGCTGTGTTTGATCGTAGGTGTCTGCGTTCTATCACCCGTGTTAGGTGGTGTAATAGGGTGAGTAATAATACTGAATGCTGGTAAGGAGGGGAAAACAGTGGGCGAGGTTGTGAAGTTACATCAGTCAAGATCGCTAGGAAATGTGTTACGCATGCCTGACTATCGTTTTCCTCGACGACGAGCAATGTTTAAGTGTTGGTTTGTAGGGATTTGGTTGGTTACAGGATTTCGTCACGAGCTGACATAAGTTAGAGAACCATTGGAAAACCTGCTTGGAGTACTGGACAGCTTTTTCGTTCTAGTTTGGGACTCTTCAGTAGTACGCACCCACTGGGGTTCGAACGAGCAATGTTAACTGACATAGGAACAA